CAAGCCTTCTTAAAGTCTACCTTAAGCTTCATCCATTCCTTTCTACTTTGGCCATGTTTATTCTATTCTTTACATAGCTTTCTGAGTTCAGTGCTTAGTATTTATTTCAGACCTATCTTGGTTTAGGCAAGGTTATAATATGTAAAATTAAAGACTTTTTTTGGTACTCATTTTTGCCATCTCATTTTGTCTGTCTATTTGTTTGCTTGTTGTTCTTGTGATTTGATTAGTCTTCCATTCATTTCACATTTCCTTTGTCTTACTGGTTTGGTTAAACTTTTCTCATTTTTTATTCTCTGTAATTTAGAAGTTAGTACTTCACTTCTGTTTTGCAGTGTTTACTTAAAATTTTTTCTTTTTGACATTTTTAGGAGAAAGGCATAAAGCTTGAATATATATAATTATTTATAAATATTTATAATTATTTATAAATATATATAAAAACAAACTTACTGCCGTTGAGTAGGACCTGACTCATAGCGAGTCCTCCTTGGGTTTCTGAGGTAGTATCTCTATGAAAGTAGATTGCCAAACCCCTTCCAAGGAGTGGCTAGTGGGTTTGAACCTCCAGCCTTCTGGTTAGCGGTCATATGCCTTAGGCACCTCACCACCAGAGCTCCTTATAAATACATAATTATATTTTCATATGTATTTATATATATGTATAAAATATTTCATATTTTATTCAAGCTCTATGCCTTCCTCCTAAAAAATGTCAAAAAGCTAACTTCTTTTTCCTCATTGCTCATGCGCCCTGTCCAGAGAGGATTGGAGTTGGTATTATAATGCTTATGTATATATAATTTATTTTGTAGTTATATGTAACTTAGTATATAATTATGATTTCAGGTTGCTGTTTTATCTTTTTGCATCTGTCTATCTAATCTCCAAATAAAAACTCAGCTGAACATTTTTTGAGGTTTTTGCTTACTATTCTGATTTTTCCTCTTGGATTTATTGTTCTTGTTGGAACATAATCTTGCTGCCATCAAGTTGATTACAACTTACAGAAACTGTACAGTACAAGGTAGAACTGCCCCAGAGGGATCCAAGGCTGTGGACTTTAAGAAGCTGACTTTTACATCTTTCTCCCACAGAAGGACTG